ACGTGACAGTGAATTTCAAATCAGTACGTCCCTAGTTGCAGGTACTGAGTTAGCCTCTGCTACCTTACTTCACTTCTGCCTGCTGTGTGTGTGTGTGTGTGTGCGTGTGTGTGTGTGTGTGTGTGTGTGTGTGTGTGTGTGTGTGTGTGTGTGTGTGTGTGTGGGAGTGTTTGTTGCAGTACAGCAGCCACAGCATATATAGACAAGGAGCAGCTGGGATTGCTTGGGACAGACTGTGTGTCTGAATGTATATGTGTCTGAGTCATTTTATGTGCCGCTTCCCCTTATGATGTGTGTGTGTGTATGTGTGTGTGTTGGGTCAGCAGGTTTGTCATACACAGGAGCTGGTGGCGTCTCCTGGGGTCTTTTCGCAGTAGTAGGCCAACACAGACCCTGATGCCGGCAGCAGTGAACAGATGGCTGAGCGTGTTAGCATGCCTGTACTGTGCCAGGGGTCAGAGGGGGCTGTTCACCCAGTCAAGAGACAGCATTTCTCCAAATGAGGACCCTAACCTGTTACTCCTCAACAGCACACACTCTCCAATCACAACAAAGTGATACATAACCTCCTCACCCTTCTATATTCTTTCCATTGCAAACATCTTACCTGTAACACAAAAATAATGTAATACATTACAGATGTGCTGTGCTGTAACCGATCGTCTACACCAGTGGTTGGTCATTCACTCTACCAGCATCCTGTAGAAGAAATCTTGCAGTTGTTTGGGAGTAAATAAACACTTTATAACCTGTAAACATGTGCTTTGGCCATTCCATCACTAGTTGTATCTAAATGCTGTCGTACAGCAGTTACACTAATCAATATTTTTCATTTGGATCGAGTGATGACTGACAGAGAATGATCACCCATCTCTGTAGTTCCCCTCAGCTCTGTGGAGCATATCAGCCTCTTTCAGCTCATTGTTTTTGTTGTTTTTTTTTGCCGGCATTTGTACTGTTTTGCTCTTGCCACTGAAAAATAAATGATGCTTCTAGCAGCAGCAGATGGTTGTCTTCAGTAAAAAACCTCTAATAAACTGACCTTGCCAGCAGTTAGCTAGTGGAGAATTTAGCAGCTAAAGAGCCAGATATTTCCCCACCGGAGATCAAACCCAGAGCTAAAAGACTGAATATTGGACTCACATTCATTGGACGGACAGTGACTCCTCATAGCCCGAGCTGGTTATTGTAATAAAGACACTTCTTGCAATAATACTATGAGCTTGTTCAGTGTTATTACCACTGAACACCACGATTTCTCTGTAACGACATACAGCTGTATTGATTACTAAAGTGTCCCTAATCACGTCCCACAAATGTAATCAGAGGCTTTGTTCTGCTTCGTAAATCTCATCTTATGTTGTTTGAAACTGTGGCATGTCGTGTTGAATTAAGATAAAGATTCAGAGGCAAAAAACAAACCGCAGGAAGAAGCCAACGCTGCTGTTTTCTGTGCACGTCTTCCCAGGAAGACAGATAATTCACAGTGATACTGTAGCTTTCTAATGAGTCGATTCACACTCCAGCAGGCAGGAAACTTTGAGGGCATTTTGCCATTTTCATACTCCCTGGGAAGATATAAATCTGTAGTCTGGAAGCCAATCTCGCTGATGATGAATGCAGTCTTTTGCCTCCCACTCTCATCTTCCTGCTCTTGTCTTTCTCCCATCTGCTCGATCGAAGGTGACAAATGTGTGATGGCGATAGAAGTGGTCGAGACCTGAGAGGAAGAAGATTCAGAGAGAGAGATAAACAGACAACAAAAACTCTCTATGCTGGCTACAAAAAGAGAGTTTTATGGGAAAATGACATTTTAAATCATAGTTGTTGCTCACAGAATGACACACAAGAGGGATCTGAACAAAGATCAATAGATCAATATTTCATCCCTTCTCATTCAGCTCTAGTACACTTCTCTGTAGAGCCCTTCATTCTTCACATGGCTGTTTCCGGAGTCAGTTTTCTCCTCCTCTCTCTCATAGATAAGTTAAGAAATATATCAGACTGCAGTATGATAACAGATGAACTGTGTGCACCTGCTGCGAGTCTGTGTCTGACTGGGCTTTAAGCCACTGGAAATGGCAGTGGTGTTGCCGGACAATGGTGCTGTCAACTTTCCACAGTGTGCTTTCTAGGTTAGATAATTTGTCGGGCGAGAGAGAGCGCAGGGAGAGAGCTGCTAAATACCACCAAGCTTCATAAAGCACATATTGACTGGCAGGACTCAGACCTCTGAGAGGAGGCACAAGAAATGAAAATAGAAATGCAGACGGATTTTGAGAATCCCCTTGCTGCAGCACAAATCTGCTGCAGGAGAAAAAAAAAAACAATTGGCCTCGTAACCACAGGAATCCGGTTTCTACCACTGAGCCGCACCAACAGAAAGATTTTGTCAGTTTGGTCCAATATCAGACAATGTCTCACTTTTCATTGAATTCAGGAGCATCGCAGCATGTGTGCTGCTCTCACAAATGATGAGGTGAGTGTAGCTCTGCTATTTCGTCTGACTGTCTTTCCTACAATCTGCCGAACGCAGCTGTTTGCTGCAGATTGGCAGTCAGTACATTTTCAAATACAATGCTATGTGTGAGATGCAGGGCTTTTCTATACTGGCTGTGTCTGAGTGTTTGTTGAATGCTGTATTCAGTGATAAAACAATTTTACACTTTTTTATCGCACTTAATTAAGAAAATTTATTTAAGGATGAAGTTACGACTGAATCGAGACCCATTGACTTTATATTTTTATTGCATCATAAATTTAAACTGCAGTGAACGTAGCTGGAACATTTCCTGTCCTCCAAACCAGAGAAATCATATTTCACTCAGTCAGCCACAGGAATTGTAGTCTGTGAAAACTGTAATGAAACCTATTTCAGCTGTCTGCTTTAAGGCACCGCTCTAACCTGCCTAAAATAATTGTATTTGTCAGGGTTTCAGGTTTCAGATTCATACCACACACGCTGTATCAGGGGATTTTGCTCGTGTGAAAATGGTCAAATAGAAATGTGTTGAAGACTGGTCTCAACCTAAAGGGTTTCCTGCCCACTTGAAATACTTTTATTTGTAGAAGTGTAGATGTTTAGCACTACGTGATGTTAAGATTAAAGCAGTATAGGTAAAATTATTCAATTATAGTCATGTATTTGTACATATTTGGTATAAAAATGTAGGAATTTCAAAATACCGAATATCAGTACTTAGTACATTTTAGAGGTCAAGACTTGGACTTAAGTTGCATATTTGATCACAACATACTTGACTCGACAACAGTATAAACACTTGACAACTTGACAATAACTATAACCACAATAACTTGTGACCTCACTCAGACTATTAACTTGAAATAATGACCCACCCGAGGAAAAAAGATTAACAAGACAAGAGCACTAAAAAGCATAAGACAGCTGAGGCTGATGGGAATGTCTGTAGTTTAGCAGGGGCTCTGACCTGATAATGGTGATGGTGCCAGATGAAAAGTCAGAGGAACATAAACGTCATCAGGATTGTTGACATTGGACATAACACAACAATCCGTCCAATGGCTGTGAAGATATTTGACTTGAAACCTTAATTGTCAACCTCGTGGTGGTGGTGGACAAAAAGACGGATCACAGATCACCAAAGTCTGTATGATCCATCCTCTGGGAACCTTGAATGTCTGTGTAAAACTGCTTGGTAATCCCTTCAGTAGTTGAAAGGTAGTTGAGATATTTCAGTTTGGACCGGTGGTGGACTGACCAGCAGACCAACCAACATACCAACATCGTCATCCCTTGAGCCATAAAAGATTATTTTGGAAAAAAGTATATATACATGTATAAAAGTATATAAGTATATGTGTATATGTATATCTGACAACAGCCAATCACGTTGCTCAACCATGAGGGAAGACAGACCGAAATTTCATTCACAACAACTTGAGACTTGTGTCAAATGTAAGATGTATAAGATAAATATGTCAGTCAGAGGCTTCCATCAAAAACACACTAACAATCTAGTCCCACAAATAAGTGCAACTACTTTTTCATCAAACAAGGCTTAGTTTTTCTGCTCGCTGCCAAATCCCACAATGTTTCCCTCTTCCCTCTTGCGCACTAAAATACTTGACAAGATTTTTGGAGGAACTTTTCTGCCCTAGCTCCCTCTTTCAGAAAAAAGAAAACCTCTCTCCATTGATTTCCTGTTACTTTGTGACCAAAATAGTGCAGTGGGCTTAGTCCCTTGTGTGTGCTGAGCTGTTCTAGACAAGCAGGCAGTCGGAGGCAAGCTGTGGGCTGGGAATGGAGTAGAAGGGAGCTGACAGTGCGTGAGTCTGTTGCGAGCCTCCCGTGACAGTCGGTCCCAGACGAGGAGGCCAAATAAACAACTCTAGCGAGTAAAGCACAGAGCTGTGCCTTGAGCCCAGAAGGAGAAAATAGAAAGAGAGACAGGAGAGAGCTCAGGAATAAGATGACACAGGGTGCAGAGGCTTCCGGAGAGGGTAATGAGTTTGGCCATGTTCCCATGATATGTTGCACCGCACCAAGAGAGAGAGAGAGAGAGAGAGAAAGAGAGCGATGCTTTTAGTTTTTCCGGTTTGGATAAAAATGTCCCCATCCGTTCATCTTTTGTGTCTAGAAAAGAAGTCTATTGTTTTTTCTGCATCAGAGAAGCCAGAATCCTATTACATTTGATGGCTATAGACACTGCAGCAGAAAAATAACTACACTCCTGCTGTTTACTGTCAGTATTGACTTCTGAATCTTATCCTTATGCCAGTAGAGCCTAAGGGTACATAAGCCCATCACCCAGTTTTGAGTAAGAATTAAGAGCGATGAAGAGGCATTAGTAATATTGACCATATTCACTGATCAATATCTATTTATGCTTCTGTTATCGGTGCATCTGGGTGAAGTGGCTCTCACAGTGACGCTTAGTTTCCCCCTTTCTCTCTATTTTCATTCTTCCCTCTATTGTTCCCTCTTGCGTCCCCATTTTACTACTCTTTTCTCTTTACAGAGGGTCTCTACCAGCTGGGTGGTCCTCGCTGTGCCCCTCAGAGCAGCATTGAAGGACTGGAGGACATAGAGGTAGGATAATTACAAAGAGTCTCTCAGTGTATTCACCAGCAGCCACGAACAAGTAGAAGTACCTGGTTGTTTGTCTTGCTCTGTAGCCCCACAACGTTGACAAAATGCTGCGTCTGTTCCTTCCCTCTCCTTGAGTCTCTCCTTTTAAGTATCTCTTTTTTCAACTCAAACTGAACCCTTTTGCAGAGGAAATGTAAGACCCACGTGCTGCTGCTCGTGGTGCACGGGGGGAACATCTTGGACACAGCAGGCGGAGACCCAAGCACAAAGGCTGGTGATGTGGCCACCCTGGCGTCAGTGCTGGAGAAAGTGACGCGGGCGCATTTCCAGGCTGCTGCAGAACACGTGATGATCAAGCTGGTGCCATGTCCGGCTGTGTGCGCTGAAGCTTTCTCCCTGGTGTCAAAGTGAGTGCCGTTGCCAAAACAAGGGAGTCTCATTGGCCCCTCTTAAACTTGTCATTTAAAGTGCCTCATATCTGGATAAAATCCTAATGTGGTTTAATACACTTTGATCTATATTTAGTAACAGAAAAAAAACTGACTAAATAACTGGACACGGCTCACTGAGTACTGATGAGTATGAAAATGATGTGAATCATATGCTGTGGCCTTCATAGTCATCATTTCTCAACCAATTAAACACCTGCAGGACATTTTGTACCAACATGTTAGACAAGGCTCTCCATCAACATCATCAACACACCAAATGATGATCTTCATCCCTCCAGTATGATTCCAGAGACTTGTCTGCATCAACAAACTATTCTGGGTGCTTGTTGTGGCCTTAACCGGTCTTATTCATTGCTCAATGATCCCTTGCATGAATTATGGACAAAACCTCTGGTTATTCCTCCCACTGTTATGTAATGCTACAAGTGTCTTCCTCTTGCTGAGTTTGAGTTCTTTGGGGTAAATGAGTCACGTAGGAACACAACCTGTCACACCAGAAATGGGATAATGTGAACATACCTCTGCCTTCTACCACCAGGGAGAGGAGGATGACCTGAGCAATACTGCCTCAGATCATAGTAATAAACTAAACTGGCTTAGCATTAGCTGAAATGTCACAGAGTTACAGAGGAGAGGAGGGTGTTGTGAATTAATTAAGCATGTAAGAGGTGATTTCATAGATGAGTATAGACTATAAATATTTTAAATCAGACCTCCACAGATATGAACAAATTGGGGTATGGCGTGATTCCTGTCTGTCATATGAGCGAGATCATCACTGCAAATGTCCTGAAAAAGTCCTGGAAAATGATCTGTGGAAAAGACTGGGAACCCTGTTGGTTTTTTTAACTGCTCTCTGAGGTCACTTGTTGACGGCTGTCAGTCGTAGAGGGCAGAATATGATCGCATTGTCCTGTTCAAAGTGTGACAGGTTGTGTTCCCTCATCATTTATTTTCACAAAAAGTTGCAAGAAAAAGAAAGGGTGCCTATATCACTGACTGTAGCAGCCCCTTGGTTCAGTGCAAGGAATAACTGGAAGTTGCCCCCATAATTTAAGCAATGTAATATGGGGCTAGATATACAATGCATAATGTTTATTTCCTTTTATTTATCACCTATCTGTGAATGCGCCTCCTTAAGCCAGGTCACAAATCTGAGTACATCTATCTTGCTTTTCCCAGCTGAAATGCAAATGTGGGTAGGTATCTGCTACTGCGTCTGAAGATGTTTGATAACTCCCAAAACATGCCAAAGGAATTATTGTATTAAAAACAGTGTGAACACAAACACATGGATGGACCATGAGCCAGACATTATTACATTCATGGTATTATTACATTCATTGGCCTTCTGTATGACAACGCCTTACTGAAATTGTTTCACACGTTTTGACTTGTCACAGGATGAAAAACACCAGTGTTATTTATGATAATGAATTAATGATAGCTGCTTCGGGTCTCAAACTGTTTGCTGAGATGTTTTGAGCAATCATATTGTAATCTGTCAACCCTGGTTCCCTTATGCATTTACACTTGGCTTTTGTAACATTAGATAGCTATCCGATGCGCTTCGTTGAACAAGGCATTTAGGTATCGCAATGCTTCCCTTGATTTGTTTTTATGGGGTTTTTTTCAGTCTCCTGCTTCATTATGTGTTTTGTTTGTTTTAGTTTTTTTTATTCAAACAACATTCTCGCTATTTTTATAGACTGCCTTAATTACTAGAGCAATGAACCGTCTGCGCTGGACTTTACTGTTAAAGGAGGCATTTCATGAATCTGCCCAGTATGAATGCAAGTCTGCAGGAATTAACATAGAGGTAAAAATGCTTGGCTGGCTAAGGTGGTGAAGGTTAATTGAGAAATATATTGATCAAAGACCCCTAAACAGACAGTGCAATGTTAATTAGTATGCTGATGACATTTCCAGCCCCTGCAAGCAAGTGGTCATGTGGAATACTAAACTCCCAACCTTTTTGAAATGCTTTTGTTTTTTATTGTGAATTCTCCCCCTAAAGTTCTGGAGGCGGCTCCTTAGCAGACAAATGAGCGGCTAAATGACATTCTACAGTTCCCACTGATCTTGAGGCCTCTGCAAGGAATGTGTGCAATGGGTTGTGCAAATGTCTGTTTGTCTAATTAGCTGCCGTTACTTTGTATTCAGGTTTCATTTTGGTATCAATTTCAGAGTGGAAGTTAATTGCGGAAGTTGTGACAGTAGCTCAGAGATTAACAGCCGTCAGTAGATGAGTCTTCCCATATGGCAGATTATATAGAATCGTGGCCATTAAACCTCACAGGTCTCACTCCCCGCAGTCATCTGTGTAAAGTAATGACATGCTCGGCTGGAAGATATTTTTGATGTACAGGAGGTAAATGCATGTCTGTGTTCACGTGTTTGCTCTTTCTTTAGTCTTGTCTGCCGTCTGTGCAGAAACGCTTAAGCGTAGCTAATGATTTCATCTCACATTTAATGTCATATGTCCCAGTGGTCACCAGTTTTATCTTTGACAGTGTCACTTAGTTTTTCACGGCTCTCCAATTACAAGCGGATGATGTTTTTGTTGGAATTGTCACTAATCACTGTGGCTGAGAGAATGTGTTTGGCAGTCAAGTGTCTGGTTTTGTGATTGGCGTTAGCAGGAGTGAGGTAGTGACTCGAAGCAAGATGAGTGTAAAGAGATTTGAGTGCTGTAGCTGCTTGGCAGCTTGACGTCCGCTTGGCTTTCACCACATCCAGAGATAAAATATTAAAAACAGCAACTCCCCTTGGGAGACAAGCGCAACTGTTATTGCCACTTCTCGTCTTGCCTGCTCTTTAATGCATGTGGACTCACACACTTATGAATACATAGACAGTTTACATATAAGCGAGCATGAAATTAAACTTGAAAAGAGCCCCATTCATGTTAAAACGCTATGCCACAAAGGACCAAAGTTGTTTTACTCAGAACTAAATTAATTAATGAAAAGAGATATAAATAAATAAACAATTAGATGCACAAACCAAAAAAATAAGAAGGTTGAGCTATGTGTAATGATCCCATCTTATTTATTTGGTATTTAATTGTTATGTTAAGATTTATTTTCCTGCAGAGGGTTTCATTTTTCTTCAACAGGATTATTTTTTTTTGAGCGGGATTTTGTTAACATGGATCAGAGTGACAACCCAACATAAATTTAACTGTTTTCAAGGTCTAAAGCATATAAGACAATAATTTCAATTAAAAGGAGAAAATAAATGGTTTGAAAATGTTTCCTAAGAAATACATATGGCTGTAAGCAAATATGTGTTTTAATGCTCTAGTGAAAGTAGACAAAGCTTACTTATGCCCAGATGGCTCCAGGTCCTCAACATTTTCCCACAATATGTGCAGCCAGTAGGCAGTCATACACGCCCACACGGCACCAAACACAACACTTATTCAACTACACTTTTGTCAGTTAACAGTGTTTACTCTGATGACAGCGTTGGACATGTGGGTGTGCAGAGCCTCATTTATTTGTGTGCCAACATAAACATCAGAGGAGCGGGCAACCGTGCAGGAAGGAAATGCTGGTGTATGGGTAATTTACTCTCATTCTGGGTAACAGATTGGCTGAAAATCGCACCACGGAGTGGAGGTGGTAAAGCCTCTTAGCGCCTGAAAGACAAACTTTCACATAAACAAACCACTTTGGACGCAGTTCTTGATGATTCCTTATGTACAGTAGGAAGTCCCCACAGAGGATGAACATGTTTTTCAGCCTGTGTCGTTCTTGTTGCCACGTGTGTGCATGGCCTGCTGTGCTCTGAAGGGCTCATTTTTAGCTCTGCCTGCTAATGAATGTACCTGACAGTGCTGGCTAGGAGCTGGGTGTCAAGGAAACACACACATGTAATCCATAAACACACTTGCGCCAATACATCCCACACAAAAAACAGTTGGAACAGAGCACTGAATGTGTATTATTGCACCATAGCGCGTCCAATTAACAGCGACAGTGAAAAGGCTCCCAAATTGATTTCCCCTCGCAGCCGACGCATCGCCTTTGTCACAGTTTGAAGAGAAAGAAATGTTTCAACTATTAAAAACTTCAGCTGTGGTGCAGGAGAGAAAAATCTAATGGATTCATGTGAGTGCAGTGTCATTGTGTAGGATCATTTTTCCATCAGGGAGAGCGGAGGAGGAAGTCCACTTGCCCAATGTGCACAGCGAGTGACCTCAGTTCACGGAGATAGAGACTCATTATTCCGTCCATCGGCAGCTGGAAAGTGCCGCTGCTATTTCTGGGCCCTCTCCCTAATTAAGAGGCGGAGGGCCATTGCTGTTCATATTAACTGCGCAAACATTGTGCCCACCATTAAGAAATGGGGAGAGCAATTAAGCAGGAATCTGACAGGCTTCAGAGTTTTCCGTTTGACATTATGTAGCGAGCGGCAGGAGGGTGGCGGGGCAGCAGAATACAGTCTATCTCAAGGTTATACTGTGTGAGATGAGGCTGATTGGAGGTTTAATCGGCTCTCTCTACCTTAGTTTCTCCCCGCTATTGTGAATCTATCTCTCCATCAACACATTGCCATGAAACCATAAGCAGGACTTCTGTACATCTCTCGTGATTCAAAGATAATCAACATGGCTCTCTTGGTTTAGAGATGAAGGAAACCTCACAGCCAATCTAAATTCAACTTATGTCCATAACAAAGCAGGAAATTAAGCTTTTCGTGTTACGTGAGTATGTCTTCAAAAAGAAAAAAAAGGTGCACTGTAGAGACACCACAATATGACCTCAGCATATTCTCAGTTAATATCACTTGCATTTTACTAATGAGAGCGGAGAGATGTAAACAGGGTAAATGCTGCCGCTCATGAGCGAATGACTCATGTTTTGAAATAATGGGGGCAGACTCGTCACTGCAATGTGAGCCACGCTCCTCCACCATTCAGGGCTCTGTTGATGACCCCTGAATGGTGG